TCCCCCCACCCCCACCCCCCTGCTTCCAAAGAGTTTCTATGGTGTCTCTCAAGTGTCAAAAACCTTTGATAATTCCAACCGCGATGTCTACCAGCAGCTTCAGGGCTAGTGATGTTTCAAGTGGTAAGATTATGAGCTTTAATAAGTAAAATTATCCCAGCTACAATGACGGACAACAAATATTACATTTATAGTATTACAGCTAAAACTGTTTTTGACGCCGCCACCGCAGTTTGTCCTTCATGAGCCTTCGTAGACAAGATGGCGGTGCAAGATGGCGGCTGCCTGTGTGGCGACCCGCGACCATGGAGATATAAACAGCTTTTTATAAGGTAAAAATGATAAAACAAGGTCTTTGTCTGCAATGATTAGACATGTTTTTTATTATTGTCTTTAGTGATTATCTCAATTTTGGCTAACCTACACACCGTGCCTTTAAGGAGATGCTGTCAGTGCAACGCCTTTGCTGGATTTCTGTTCTGTATTTCTAACGACTGTCGAAAATAACAAAATAATCTGGAGCTGGACAAATTAGATTCAAGGTGGCTATGTAAAAAATCATACAAATGCAAAACAAAAACTCCTGGCCAAAGGCAAGCAGTTAAAGAAAATGCTTGTTTTTTCTTTTTTTTTTTCTTTTTGGTATTTTTTTATACTTTCCAAGCTCATGAATCAAAGACTCATTTAAAGAATAAACTGTGTTTGGATCAAACCACGCCATCACCTACCATCAATGTGTAATTGACTCAAAAGGCTGCATAAATGTTGTCATTAATGTGTGTAACTGGAGGTTTTATCTGATAATGTGCATCAGGATAATCAACACTTCATTCAAATTAACCCACATGGTTGTGCTTTGAGAGCAGTTAAGTCTTAATGAACTGCTTTTTTGTAAACAACAACAGTTTTAAAAAGAATTCACAATCAAGCTGAGACATAGCCACTCTTCTTCCTTTGGTGATCAGTGCATCCTAACTAAGGTTGGAGTTTCTCATGCAATGTTACAAATCTTGAGCAATTTCCAGCTAAATGCACTGCTGTCTTGTGCAAGTTTATCTTCTAAACTTTTATCAAGGCAATTTTGCAACTTCAAACATGGAAATGAATGCTACCACAATGAGATACACCTCTGAAACATTTAAAAACAACAAAAAAGTGTAAAAATCATAAACAATGCACAATGCATTTCATCTAAAGACCTCAGAGTAACTTCTAGTTGTTTGCTTTTTGCGTGCGCACCTTCTGTTCACGCGCTTCATTAACACCAACACTTCAAGATGTTACGAAAACAAGAAAATACACTGAACAGTTTTCCTTCCTTGATTACCAGTGCTCAGGCTTTCCTCATCAACAAAACACACACGTGTTGAACAAATGACTCAAACCTCCCACTGAAACACACCGTTCTGAAAATACAGCTGTATTGCATTAAAAGGAAAAAAACAACAACGATTTCTGTCTCTGTATTCACAGACACTAAGTTTCTTGTTCTCTGTGAGACCAAACTGGTACACAATCAAAGCACTGGCTGCTTTTCTACTCCCCGAGGTACTCTGTTTATAATGAGACAATAAAATCCAGCAGATTGAGAGGCGAGCATGTTTACTGCAGGTGTGAAGCTCTGATAAACGACAGAGAGCTTTCTGTGCAATAATTAGTTGTGTCTTAGGAGGGGCTGCAAAAAATGCTGCTTTCTCTCTCTCTCTCTCCCTCCAGTCAGATGCATATTAATAGGCCTGAAAACAAATATATTCCTGGTGTGGTGGTATGAGTCTGTATTTGCCTGTGTTCATGGGTGGGTGAATGAGATTTGCTATTTGGATCGGTGTGTGTGCGCAGAAAATGGAAAGTAAACGTCGAGGCTGTAGACCCCCATTTCTCTTGCCTCCTGCAACATTAACTGTCCAATCGCAGCATAATGGAGGGGAAACCATTGCAGTATTCAAACAAAAGCAAGGTGCTGCACCCCCCCCAAATGTATATATATATACAGTATATACATATGTGTGTGTGTGTGTGTGGTCACACACGAAGGGGGAAACATTAGTTTTTTTTCTTTTAAATGTGCATGTTAGCATGTGTTTTTGCTGCAGTGCGTGAATAGGTCCTCGGCGGTTTTGAGGGGGGAAATGAATGAAAAATGTCAGGAGAAAAGCGATTAAGTGCTCTGGGGAGTCGGCGTGGGTGTCTGTGCTTTACGCAGCCCCCTTGCTCTCTAAATCTAACAAAGGAGTTGCAAGGAGGAGAAAGCCGCACTCCAGCGAGCCCCCCTGGGCCAGGGGAGGCAGACGAGAGGCAACGAGGGAGAAAGGGGAGCCGGTTCTGCTTCTACGCTTTAACAAACAAACTATAAAACACCTTGCCAGTGCTGGGAGGGCAGCAGTAGAGGAATGGGGCCCAAGATATAAAAAAAAGGCAGAAAGGCATTAAATATATTTTGAAATGAGAGGCTCAGAATAAAGAATTATCATTATAAGAGAGGCAAAAAGCAGTGTGTAAAGCAAGGAACATCCTGACTATAACCCCTCCAGGAAAAGTGCAGAAGCTTTCTAGCTTTACAGACGAGCACTTTCTGACACTTAAACTGCTCCC